CAAAAAATGCTCCTATTGGGATAGTGTTGGGAGCATTTTGTTGGTAGCAAATCCCTATCTCCTTTTATTAAAACACTTGTATAGTTTTATGGATTTATTAAAACCTACCCTATATTTTGCATTTTACTAAAACACCTCCTACATAGTTTGCAATCGATTTACTTAATTGGCCTTCCATTATATGATAATGGAAAATGACAATTTTAACACTAATGTTCATTTGAATAAATTTAATCTAGAGAAAATATAGATAAAAATGCCAGTTTTGCCCCAAGTAAGATATGAACAACCACCTTATTTGTCTCTATTTGGTCAAATTTGTTTTTTGCATGAAAAAGTGTTAGGGGTACTTTTGAAATAAACAATCATGGGTCTATGCCCTTGAAAATTTTCCACTCAGTTTAGGTAATCATGTTACTATTTTTAGATGGCAAAACAAACACTTCTTAGTAAAAGGTTGATTAAGTAAATAGCTTACAAACTATAGGGGTGTTTTAGTAAATGAAAACTATAGAATAAGTTTAAGTAAATTCATAAAACTACAGGGGGTATTCTAGTAAATGACCCTATTTATTATTTCCTACAGAAATTTTTATATTTTTAATATTTAATTAATGACATCGAGGGTTGAAAATTTTGATCCAAAAGGTTGAATTATTGACCCACCATCGAACAAGAAAATAATTCAATTTTTGGGTGGATTTTTTAATTTTATGTTTTACTTTTATCATCAACAAAAATAATTCTTATTTATCACACTTATTTTTTTTATAATGTGATAAATATATGATATTAGAGATTTGATTTAATGTTTTCTACAAAATTTTTTACAATTTTTATATTTTTTTACATTTTTTATCTTTTTAACTTGTATTATTTAATTATGAATCAAGGGACAACACATTTGACCCAAAAGGTTGAACTATTGGCCTTTCACCAAACAAGAAAACAATATCACTTTTAGGTTAATTTTAAATTTGTATTTCATTTTAACCATCAATAAAAACAAAATTTCTTTAATATGATTAATATAAAATATTAGAAATGTATCAAATTTTTTCTACAAATTTTATAATTTTTTGTTTTTATTTTTACTTTCATTATTTAATTATGATATCAAGGGTTGACACATTTAACCTAAAAGAGTGAAAGGTTGAACTATGGACCAACCACCAAACAAGAAAAAAGTTTCATTTTCACTTGGTTCTAAATTCTATACTTCATTTCTATCACTAACAAAAACAATTTTTTTGTTTATTACTCATTTTCCTTTAATATATGATATTAGTGAATTTCTATATTTCTTATATTTTTATGTTATTTAAATTTTATTATTTAACTTTAGCACAGAGGGTTGACACACTTGACCCAAAAGGTTGAATTGTTGGTCCACCACCAAATAGGAAAACAATTTCATCTTTAGGTCAAGTTTAAAATTTGTATTCCATTTCTAACATCAATAACAAGGGTAAACTACAAAGACCCCCTTGTACTGTGAGGCTAGTGTAAATTAGGAGTGGATTCGAGTTGAGCCGAGCTTGGCTCACCAAGATAGTATGAGGCTTGAGCTCAAGCTCGAGCTCAGTTCAAGCTAAAGACTTGAGCTCAAGTTTGGCTCGAGTCAAAAGTTCATAAGCTTGAGCTCGACTATGAGTCAAATGCTTTATAAAAGTAAAAAGTTATATATAAAAAATTATTTTTTATTTGATATTTAAAAAATTAATAACTATAATAATTAGTTATTATTATTATATATAAAAATAAAAATATTATATATGTATGTATGTATGTATGTATGTATGTATGTATGTATGTACGTATGCATGTCTGTGTATGTATGTATGTATGTATGTATGTATGTATGTATGTATGTATGTATGTATGTATGTATGTATGTATGTATGTATGTATGTAGAAGCTCGATTAGGCTCGCAAGCCTCACAAGTTGAGCTTTATTAGGCTCGAGCTTGGCTCGATTAGAAAATGAACCTATAAAAATATTAAACTAAGCTAAGCCGAGCTCAGGGACAGAGCTAGAATTTTTGAGCTTGAATAATTCATGAAAAACTTGGCTCGTTGCCACCCCTAATGCAAATTACCTCATTGAACATTCATTTGAGACAAAGACCCTTTCAACTTTCACTTTACAATAAATACCTCTTGGTTGTTAGGTTGGATGACATAATGCGTTAGATAACAAAATGCTCCCCATGCCTTGGGAAATACTTTTTATCGTCTTATTGGTAAAGCAGCTCTCTATTATGTTGTCGCTAGGGAAGGAAAAAATCTCCAGCGAAGAAAAATCTCCTTGGAATCTGTTATGCTGTCGCCATAGAAGAAATAATTTGTTGTTTCTTCTTTGTTGTCAAAGAAGAACAAACTAAAGCTTATAGTTGCATCTCCATTGCCTCTCACCGGAAAATGTATACAACTAAAAGATAGCATGGGTTCTGAGGTCAGAGAATAAATCAATAAAATAGCAAAAGAAGTTGAGTAGAAAAGAAACAAGCCATTAAAGAGCACAAATTAGTAGAATAAGATCTCAAGGCTTTCTAAGTGAAAGGGTACAATCATCCAAATAAATAAGAAAATCATAGTTTTGGCTATAGAAAGCTTTAAACAACCTAATGAGGATCTTTTTTGAAATTGACTAACAAAACCCTAATGGAATGGGAATATTTATTGTAAAGTGAATGTTCAAGGGGGGCTTTTATCGCAGATGATAGTTCAGGAGGTATTGTCACTAACCTCATAGAAAATATTAGAGATGTGCCAAATTATCTCTTTCTCTCTCTCTCTTATATATATAAAATTTATGCATTTATGTCTATTTAAAAACTTTATCATTTAACTATGACATCATGGGTTGACCCATTTGACTCGAATGATTTAATTGTTTACTAACCACCAATCAGAAAAATGGTTCCATTTTTTAGTCAATTTAAAAAACATTGATTTTATATTGTTAAAAGTATTAGAACAAGATCTAATTGATAGAACTTATTGGCAAAAAATGCTTAAATATAGGATTTAGTGAGAAAAAGAGAGATGATAACGATGATGATGAGAATGAATGGGGTGAAAAGTAGTAATTTAAAATACATTTTTGCCCTCACAATTAAAAGCGGATCAAATTCAAAGTAGTGGTGTTTTAGTCAAGAACAAACTTTAATAAAGATAATGAGAGTTAATACCTTAAATATAAAACTTAATAAGAGAAAAGGTAAAACCCATTAATTTGTGCCAATGCCACATTGCTTGAGAAAAATGCATGGCCTAAGATAAGATTATTTCAAGACAACAATATGTATAATAGTAAGAACATTGATAATAGCTATAATAATAAAAACAATTATGGTAATAACAATCTACATTGGTACAAAAAGCAATAACAATCTATATTTGTAGTACTATCAAAACTGCAAATGGGTCTCACATTTTTGGACTTTTTGATTAACTAAAATACCCCTATATATAACACTTTTTTCTTACTTCTCATTCTTTTCATTAAACCCTATATTTAAAACATTTTTATTTATCACTATTCAATTCCACTAATTTCCAATAAAATTTACTAGTTAAATCTCTCATAATTCTAATGGTATAAAACTGACTTAGAAATAAAACCATTTTTTCATCTAGAGGTTCAACATATGAATATCAACTCATGAAGACAATAATTATATGAAAAAATTAAAAGTAGATAAAAGTACAAAACATTATAGAGGAATTTAAGGAATTTATAGGAATTTTAGAAGACGCTCAACCTAATGAGAAGAAATTTCAATTCATAGAGGCCTTGTTCGTTTCACGGATTTTGGAATGGGGAAAAATCGTCCAATGGGATTTTGATTCCCATTGACCAACTCTCCCATGTTCTTTTTCAAGATTTAGGTAGGACCCATAGTAAAATGCCTTTCCCTTGGGTATCACTTACTTGGGAAAGTGTTACCCTTCTCTCACTTGGAAAGTTAAAGTGAAGAATAAATGCACAAAATATAATATATCAAAAATGCCCATTAAAAAAATATAATTCAAAAAGCATGGACCTTGACCTAAGGGTACAAATGACAAGACAGAAAAATTAACCACTTGCCTAGGAAAGTGGGTGAGGCAAAAGAACACAAGGAAGTTGAAAAGTCACATTTACTCAGATAAATTTAACAAAAAAAACATGGGTAAATACACTTACCTAGGTAAATGTTTCCTAGGAAGCACTTACCCGGGTAAATGACCTCTTTCTAAATGAACAAGGCCTAAGTATTAACACTTTCTCCAAACGATTGACTGGTTACCCGTGCCTGAAACACAATCTTCATGTTGTATTCCAATTCCATTAGGCTGTTTGGTTGCAGTGCAATTTTATTTGCACTAGTACAAATGCATGAGAGTGCAAATTAAAAAAAAATGCAAATTCTTGTTTTGGGTTTTATTTTATTCTGCTTCATGTCTTAATTTACTTCATTTGTAATGCAATCAAACAAAATAAGCTAAAATTTGAAACAAAAATAGGTCAAAATTTACACTCAAATCATTTGCACTGCCATAGTGCAAATTTAATTGCATTGCAACCAAATGTAGCCTTAGGGATTATCCTAATAACCGATGCGAAGAGCATTAATGGCTTAACGCCCAATGACACCAAATTATCTCCGGTGATAATTGATAACCTAACATGGTTTTTAAAACCGACCTGGTGACCAAACCGGTCAAGGTCCAGTTACCGGTTCGAACAGTCCGACCGTTCAACCCAAATGATAGGCCCATTCTGACAAAAAAAAATAAAAAAATTTAAAAAATTTGAAAAACGGTCAAAACCATTCGAATGGTTTGAACAGTTAACCGACTGGTCCAGCGGTTTGTTGACCAAAATCAACGATTTTGGGGAAAAACGGAACCGGTTAGGTGATCGGTTCCCGTTTTTCCGGTCCGGTTTTGAAAACCATGCTTATTTATTTATTTGATGGCATAGATAACCCACCTCTCTTAAGCAGTTAATATATGATGTAAGTATGTAAGACATTTAACTATATGCGCAAACCATTAAGATACAGTGTTGTAGTTGTAGTATAAATCTGATAAAGGTCATCACTAGTTACAAGATTTGATTAAAGAAAAAAAGAAAGAGGTCTGGATACAACTATGAATACATCGATTTGAAGCCTTCTGCTAAAGCAACCACCTTAGTAGACAACTTTGGTTGTAGTTTCGACACAGCTTCACGAATGTCCTATAATTGACAAAAGCATCTGTTAGATTTTTTCATGGAAGAGCAAGGTGGAAAATTCGTCCAGTCCTATGCTAAAAGCACAGAGTGTTAGTTTCATGGAGCTACACCATTCAAAAAGACCCACTTCCTGAGATTCCAATTACCAATCCTCTCGAATGAAAGCAACCACCCAAACTTTCGTTACAGATTGGGGGCAACAAATACGCCCAATAGACATTTGCGAAAGTTTGGGAACATCTGATCAGGTTGACAATTGGACATGGGATCCATCAAAATGGTGGGCCATTCCTTTGCATATGACTGACTATACAGGGTATGTCACAGCCAATGCATTGGCATAATATCAACAACTAAGAAAGGAAACCTAGATTTCTCCATCTGAAAAAGGCAATAGTTATTGAGGACTTGGTTCATTACCTCAATTTTGTACCGGGAAGAGAAGTGAGTGAGCAAAATTACTTTGTTCCGGATCCATTGAGCATTTTCAATAATCTACATCATTAACAACCCCATGTTTCAGAATAACAGAAAAACTAACATGATGAAAAAAGTTGCGGTTAGATGGGTTCTGCAATTAGAAGTTCTCCAACTTGAACAGAAAAAAATGGCATTGAGCTGCTCTTCCTTCTATTATGCACACGGCACACATTTTGGGGTTGAGACTGAGTGACCAACCATAAGGTAGATATGGTGACTAAGAACTCAGGGTTGACAATTCTTTTTATAACCCCTTAAATCATGGGGTCTCAAACAACTTTTCTGTGTGCCACATGCTGGAGGAGTCCAGAAGACACCACCTTCCAGTCTTCCACAAGTTTTCTCTCCAGTTTATAGGTCCATAAAATGCACCTGTATGAAGGCAGGCTAATCAAGTAAATGCATAAAAAAAGATAATTAAAGTTCTTTTCATTCAATGTTTCATGGACCTCAAACAAGTGAGTATGGCCATGCTGTCGTGCATGCTCAATGCTGATCTCTTCATCTAGGAAAGTTGCCTGTCAAAAGATAAGCACCATCATAAAAAATGTGGATTGAGTAGCACCAATTGAAAAAAAAAAAAATAGTGTATTGAGTAGTTCATCAATGGGAAATAACAAGTTTGAATTCAGACATCTCAAAGACACTGGCTTGATCACATATTAGATGCATTCCTAGACTTTAGATAGATAGCAGCTCATTTTACGGTCTATTTCCTTCTACTCAACTGGTTTCCATGGACTTTGTAACCTTCATAACACCATCTTATTCCAAGCAGAACCATCTAAATACATGAAATAAACTGTAAAGCTCAATGGAATTTTAGCTTTCTTGTGTTCAGCTTCTGAAACACTGTTTCATGCTGAAATGTTTACAAATCTGTAAGTAATGCATGTAGAATTTTGATCTGACAAAAACTTGGGAGCACCCAATACCCTGTCCTGTGGGAAGTTCATATAGTCTATCAATGGAAAGCTGTTTACATAGCACATATGCAAGATTGTAACTTAATATCATAAAACAATTATATGACTATTACATGAATTACCTTCTTATGGTTGACTGCAAGAAGTATAGCAATACTCCACAGTACTAAAATTAAATTTGGATATACTCTTGGTGTAACTTTTTACTAAAGTCAGTATCCATAAATACCTGCTTTTAAGGTGTACAGCCCAGAACATAATTGATAGCTGCACATGTGGTTTTACATATTAATACTGAATTAACCATACTTTCACCAAGTTACATTGCATAGATGAGGTAGACATCTGCTATTCCCCATCAATATTCTAATGCATTAAACAGAATGCAACTTGATATTTAGGTAAGACTAGCTTGAGCCACCATAGGAGCTTGTTGTGATCTTCTGGACCTTTTCCAAGTCTTTTACTGATTGACCACATTAATGTGCCCCTTGTTCCTACATGAATGGAACTGCACAATTGCAATGCTTATGTTCTAGCTAGTTTTGTCTTTTCAGGTGTATATTTATGGTTGTCAAATTGAACTCTTTGCCCAAGAAGATTATATATAGTTTTGCAGGAAAAAGAAAAATAACAAAGCTGCCAAGCTGCTACCTCAGTTATAAGAATTTTTGCTCTCAGGGCATCAGCATTTCGAGGTTCAAGCATAAAATCAGATGTCGTATCACCCGTAAATGCCACCTCTGGAGACAGTATGATGTCTGTAATCTAACAAGGAAGTTCAAAGTCAAATAAGTCATAAAGCCACATGATTAAACCCTAACAAATTATCCCTTTCTATCCTTCAATATAAAGCAAAATAGGTTGGTTCAGTGCTAAAGTTTGTAAAATTACAGACCTCAACACCAGAGTTTTTCAACTTCTCAATTTGTTTTCCTTTTAAATGAGCATACTTCTTCTTCAGCTTCTTCCTAATTGAGTATATGACATATCCCTGAACAGGCCAACAAATTGCATAGTGGATTCAGGGCCAATCCCAGGTTTAAACACTTGGTAAATAGTAAAAACCATATGGTATAAATTCCAAACCAAAGTTTAATCTAATTGAAGAAATTACCTGGCTGGGTATGACATGGTGTGTTCTAAATGGTCTTACAACAAGATCGTTCCGTAATTCATATGTTTCCCCTGAAGTTGAACTGTAAAATGAAGCTTGAGAATGAAAAGACACAGGAAATACAAACCAATAAAAAGAACCACATACCCACATCCAACGCCACCAAATCGAGTTTCAACTCCACTTGACTCATGGCCCTGTGAATGTCAAATAGCTTCTCCACGTCCTCTTTTATACATGGAGGCACAAATACTGTGGGAGGCTTCAAGCTATAGAGGCCACGAGTAGCAACATACATTGGAAGCCCGCCCTGCAGTGAATTTGATGTAAAACCCATTAGATTTTCAACTTGAACTGAACCACAACAGAATAAAGAGATATTTAGGAACTTGGTTTAATCCGAAATCCAAAGAATATATGAAAGTTAGCACATGCATATCTGTAAAAATTTACATGAAGAAAGGTGAAAAAGCTTACAATATGATCAAGATGAGCGTGGGTTATAAAGAGGAAATCCTGATGAACAGCCCTGGAAGGGCACCTTCCAATGTCAAAAGCGGCGTTTAATCTGGGAATTACGATACACGTCTCGTGCCCTCCAACAGAAATCCCCTCGATTAAGTACCCCTCAAGGTCGACGCCTCTGCGGTTAACCTCAGATCTAGCCTTTCTGTATTCCTCTTCTTCAATTGCTCTGTCGATAGCAGAGAGGAAGCCAGAACCTTTGAAGGCACACAAACCCCGGCCATGACCACTTACTGAAATTTTCTGGCCTAATCTTTGAAACGAAGGGAAAGGGAATTTGCGGGAGGGTTCTGATGCGGGTTCGTGCAGTGGCAGTAGCGAAGGCATGTTTGAGGTCGCAATGCTCAAAGAAAACCGCATTTTCTTTTTCTAGATAAGGTTTTACACTAAAAAAGACCGAATAAAACAGAACCACGGAGAAGTAGAGATTAGAGAGAGTTGCAGTTACAGACTTACAGTGTATGGCGTGTAAGGAGGTTGTGTGCGCGGAAGAAGGTGAGGTTTTGAAAGACAGGAACAGTTCCAGACTTCCCGAGTTACTGTCATCAATGGAGTTAGAAGTTAGAACCACGGAATCCTTGCAATATAAGCACTCGGGCAGGTGTGTTTTTGTAAATTGCAAGAAAATATCAATTTTTATTTTTTAAAGGTCATTTACTAAAACACCCCTAAGTTTCATACGTTTATTAAAACCTATACGTTTTACTAAAATTCTCCCTATAATTTCCAACTATTTACTTAATCCACTTCTGTCCATAATCTTTTATATTAGTGATGGAAATTTCAGCTTAGTACCCTATAGTTTGGGTTTAGTGCCATTTTGGTCTCTAAATTTTAAAATGCAATAATTTAGTACTTGAATTTTCAAAACGTGTTAATCTAGTATTTACCATTAACCTGCCATTAAGTGCTATATGAAAAGACACAAATATCCTTCGAGTGTCATCTAATTCTCTTTATCAATCATCTAAATATTGATAAAAAATGAACAGTCTCAAATCCTTGTTTCTTCTGTTCAAGAAAGTTGGGGTCACCAGAATGCACACTGAGACGTAACCCCAACTTTCTTGAATAGAAGAGGCAAGGATTTGAGACTATTCATTTTTATCAACTTGTGGATGGTTGATAAAGAAAATTAGATGACACTCAAATGGCATTTGTGTATTTTCAAATGTCACTTAACGGTTGGTTGATAGATACTGAATTGATACATTTTGAAAGTTCGAATACTGAATTGTCACGTTTTAAAGTTCAAAGACCAAAGTGGCACTAGGCCCAAATAAGGTCAAAATTATCAATTTTCACTTCAATCTAATGAAAGGTTGATTAAGTAAATCCATTGTGAAATGTATAAGGTGTTTTTAGTAAAGACCCTTTTTAAATTAAAAATGAGGGCCTCTCTCTCTCCTTCCCATTTTACAACTCGTCTCAAATCTACCGAGTATCTGAGAGATCTCAGATTTGAGATCTGAGAGATACTCAGATCCACCGTCGTTGGTCAGAGCAAGGGTTTGTAAACCCTTATAGAGAGAAAGGGTCGGAGCAAGGGTGGCCTCGGCTCCTCCTTTCTCGTTCTAGCAGTCACCCTCTTCTCCCTTTCTCTCTCTTCCTCTCCTTTCTTTCTCACTTCTGTCAATCCGACAAGTTTTGCTCTACCATTTTCAGGGAAAAGCAATCTGTCTCTTGGTGGCTTTATCGCTGCATCCCGTGTGGTAAAAAAAACAAATATTCACATCTCTTACATTCATCTACTATTTAATGGCGAAATTGCTTACCATGAGAACATACCCCAGCTTAATCTTTTCCTCATGGCGCATAGTCTTTGCATTGACAGTAGCTACTGATTGAGCAGCAACGACGACACCTCCCGATGATATAGTATCCCCCTATGGCTATCAATTCTAGTGCATGGATTGCAGCAACGTCATTCTTATCGACCGGAATACCTCCCATTGTTACCGCCGTTGCTTTGAGTGCTTCCCCAATTGTTTTTGGGTCACGTTTGAATTGCCCCACCACCTGTAAGAGTAGCTTCTACTTGTTATTGGATCAAGTACAAAGACGTATTCTTAGTTTCTAGGGAACTTGTAGCCGAACCCGTCTCACCTCAAGATGTAGCCAAGGTGTAGGTACTTGGTCAAACCCAAAAAGGCAAACCGGCCTCTATAATGCTGACGCAGCGTAGAAGCACTAAATCGGGCTGGCTATGCAAGCACCGGGTGAACACCTGCTTCGTAGTGAAGTTATACATGAACCTCTTAGAGGAGAGAGAAAAGTTGGTGAAAACTAAATTGTCTTTATTAGCTTGGAAAGAACAATATTTATAATACATCTGGAAATTGTAGAATAAGTAGGAAAGAAAATTTGTAGTTGATTTAAACATCTCAATCTTGTAGATAGGATCAAACTCTCTTTGATGTTGCCTTGCTTGGATCGAAATCTTCCACCGTCCGATCTCCCTGGATCTTATTCATGCATGGGTTATCTTAATCTTGGTATGAATCTTGGATTATCTTGAACTCTTGGTTTCTTGAATTCTTGATTGATCTTGAATTCTTGAATTATCTTGGACTCTTGAATTCTTGACTTATCTTGAATTCTTGCTTCCTATAGACTGTCGCCCATATGATGAAATGGGCCTCCATCAAATGCAATCAGTGGTGGCACACAATGAGAGAGTTGGTCATGTTGGTCACCATGATGCCACTAATATCACCGCTAATCCTCTGTAATGCAGACTGTGTTGGAGGTTTGCTTCCAAAAAATGGTGACTCAATAACTCAGTTGCAAAATTTGAGAGGGTGTTGCTTACGGGTTGAGCTTAAAGTGGCCACTTGGCGTGCTGCTCATCACTAACTCACGGTCCCTCTCCCATCCGTGGTGCCCTGAGCTCCGATTTGAAACTCTGTAGCATCATTGACTTACGAACCGGCTGATGAACGGAGAAGCCAAATGGAATTTCCAACAAACCATTCTAACAAGACAGGGGAAAACATTTCGGTGATACAAGAGCCTTCCCATGCCTCCGATTACGGAAGCATGTGTTGCCCAAGACCCAACCTTGGAGTTCGGAAAAGAGGAGACTGGGCCTAATCTGGAACCGCAGCTCCCCCTCTACCTCCCTCGTTCCTCCTATCAAGTATCAACAACAAGATCAACACCATAGTCATCGCCCACATACCCACTTCACTCCTCTTATCCTTTGAATCACCCACCTCTCTCTTTCTCTCCGATTCACGACATCTTTTCTCCCTTAATTATTCTTCAAATTCCGACCTCCTCCACCTCCCTTTCATGAGAAAATAACATGAAATGGACACCATCATTATCCAGCACGAGCAGTGGACAACTGAAGAGATTGTCTCTCAGATTTATCAGTGGTGGACAGTGTATGATTGAAGAGATGACAGACGTGAATGCGACCGATAGAAAATAGAGATGGAAACGGAGGCAGAGACAGGGCAGTAATTTGCTTTCTATTCTTGAAAATTTAAAAAAGAATAATAGGCAAAATAGTCTTTTCAAAATAGTAGGAATATAATTAATCAATTTCTTAAACCTATAGTTTAAGAAATTTGCCCTTTTATTTATTACATTTTTTTTGGTAAAACAGGAATTAAGTTTCCGTAGATCAAAATACATATGGGAATTACAACCACCAAATAGGGTTGTTCACGGTCGGGTTACTGATATTTTTCCAACCGACCTGATTTGGTCGGGTTACTTGAAATTGAAACTGAAACCGACCTGATTGGTTTGAGTCGGTTTGGATCGGTTTTGGCTCTACTTAGTGGTGACTTAGTTGTTGTTCAAGTGTTCATTTCTAGCTCTACATTCCCAAAGGAAATCATCATTTCCTTAACGTTTTGTGGCCCATCCATGAATCCAGTTGTGGAGGAAGCAGAGTTTGAGAGACAACTTAGTTAAGTAGGTTGTAACTACTAACTAAGAACTAACTACTAAGTCGGTTCGGTTTGGGTCGGTTTTGGCTTTTACACATAAAAACCAAAACCGAACCGAATCATCGGTTTATGATTTTTTATAACCCAAAACCAACCGGTACTGAAGAAAACCCGACCGATTCGGGTTGGGTCGGTCCAGATTGGTCGGTTTAGTTGGATTGGATCTTCTTACATAACAGCCCTACCACCAAAATTTGTCCATACCTCTTTATCGGGGCAAGAAGGACTAGCTTGATAGTGAGAAAACATGTTCTGGTTCTGCTAATAAAACGAAATACGCAACCATCAAAAAGACTTTTCTAAAACCCAAATATCATTAACAATTCCTTGCAAAGCACCATCAATTCTCCTGGGTTTCCTCAAAATTTGATCCATCATGTTCTTCAAATCTGATAAAACTTCAATTCTTCTAGAACCGAAGGCCCGAACAACATTCAAGCCTCTATACAAAGCCAAGGCTTTAGAAGAGATAGGAGACTTGGGCAAAATCAACACAAGATGAAGCTGCCCTTACATTGCCAAAACAGTCAACTAAGAGGGTACCATAACCAGCAAAAAGATTCTTCACAAAAGCTTCGTCCACAAAGATTTTGTCAAAACATGTGGTAGTAGCTCTATAGGCGCACAGGACACAAGAGCTGAAGGTGAGTTAGTCTAGAGATAGGGGTGAGCATTTAGTTAAAAATCGAATCGAATTAATCAAAATTTTAAAATCCAAATTATAAAAATGAAAATTGAACCGAAACCAAATTAGAAGAAAACCGAAATAACCGAAACTGAAATTTTTGGTTTGGTTTTCGGTTATTTCGGTTAAAACCGAATTTCAAAAATATATACTATATTATATATTATATATATCATAACATATAATATATAAATATATATTATGAAATCAAATTTTATTATATTATACATGTTATATTAAATATTAAATATTAAATATTATATTACATTCTATATAGAAAAGTTCAGTTAATTCAGTTTTTTCAGTTAACCAAATTTCTAATTCTAAAAACCAAAATCGATATTTTCTGTTCGATTTTTCAATTGTAACCGAATAATGCTCACCCCTATTTGGAGGATCCCTCCCGAAGAGGGTTTTCCATCCTGTCCACCCTGCATAAAGAATTGAAGTAAATGAAAACCTCTATAGGATTAGGCATTAGCTGATTCCTATTCATAAATATTGTTTCTCTACTTCTAAATAGCCCAAAGCATCAAAGCTATCAAGTGGGGTGGGAAGAGGGGTGAGAACCAAATATTCTAGTTCCAAAGAGAAATCAAACAAGAGGTTCCAAAGCCATTTCCAGGTAATCAGAGGCCTAACTTGGGAGCCAAACCAGCAAGGCCGAGGAAAGTCACAGAAAAAACTAAGGCATGATCAACTAAGTCTTCTTCCTTGGAACATATAGGACAGATTGGAGAAGAAAATAGCTTTCTTTGCCAAAGGTTTAAGAAGATCAGATTTTTGCCCTGCACAACCTGCCAAAGTTCTTAGATCTAAGGGGAATGGGAATGTTCCAAATTATTTTCCACACCAAGGAAGCAACTTGAGATCATTGCTTTCGCTACAAAGTAAGCAGAACGAAAAGGAACCAGATCTATTATACTTTTAACTAATCTATCATGGCTTTGAGAATGTGGGATGTAGATGATCATACTTTCATCTGACTCTAGAGGTGTAAATTGGGTTGGGTTGTGCTTATCTCTTATGGGATGCTTCAGAGGTCAGGCCTGGCACGAGCCTAGGTGGGCCTTGGCCGCGCCATGCCATGTTGCAGGCCAGGGCTAGGCGGGCTCTAGGCCGTGCCATAAGCCTAGGCTGAATTGAGCTGGCCTTTTGAATTAAGTGTTGATAAAGTAGTAATTGCAACTTTAGAATTAAGTGTTGATAACATAGAAAGTAAATTTTATTTATATGAATAAAAAATTTTAAAGCATATGATCTAATAGTATTTCTAGATCTTTTTTTTTTAAATTGGAGGTTTACAGAATGTTATAAAACCTTTCAAGCTTAGTGTCTTCAACTAATAAAAAAATGGTTCATTAGCATGTACAATATATTTTACTAATTCTTGTTTCATTTTTTCTTGAGAATAAAATTCCTAATCAGTACCTTGTACTTTAGCTTGAGTGACAATTTGGTCTCCGAACTTTAAAATGCGACAATCCAATACCCGAACTTTCAAAATTGTGACAATCCAATACCCGGACTTTCAAAATGTGACAATCTAGTACTTGTTGTTAACCAGTCCGTTAATCAGCCATTAAATGACATTTGGAAAGTCAAAATGCCCTAAGAATGCCATCTAAATCTCTTTATCAACAACATTAACAATAAAATGAACAATCCCAAAATTTAGATTCTTCTAAACAATCATCAATGTTTTTGAATAGAAGAGGCTAGGATTTGGGACTGCTCAGTTTTTTGTCAACGTTTGGATGGTTGATAAAGAGAATTAGATGGCATTCAAAGGGCATTTTTAACTTTTCAAATGTCACTTAACGGCTGATTGACTTACTAGTTAACGACAAGTACTAGATTGCCACATTTTGAAAATTTGGGTACTGAATTGTCACATTTTAAAAGTTCGGGTACTGGATTGCTGCATTTTAAAGTTCGGGGACCAAATTGCCACTTGAGCCAAAGTACAGGGTACTGATTGGGAATTTTCCCTATTTAAAATTACCAAAAAAAAAACCACGCCCAATTTGTGTTTGTGATGATTGTTTACTTTCTTCTTCATTTTTTCTCATGAGTGGTCATATGTCTGCCCAAATGGCCAGTATCACGCTTACTACTATAACTAAAGTCGCTCATACATTTACGACAAATGACTCTTTCTCCCTTTCCCTCAACCTCTTCTATGCTAAATAATTTCTAGACCGGGCTAGTCAATTTATTGCCCTTCCTTTTCTTTCTCCTAGTAACAGTACTAGGGATGGGAACTCCAGCAACATCAGTAGCATCCATATCAATGCTAACACTATCATACCGTGATTGAACATCAACAAAGTTGAACATGTTAGGAAATTGGCTTTGAGAGGAGCCGGTCATTTTTTTTTAAAAAAAATTATAGTATTAAAACTCTAAAAAGTAACAATTAATTTAATTGCAACTTGCACAGTTTACCGGTTTGGAATCTTAACTTGATTTCAACTAGGGATGGCAATTTCTACCCTACCTGGTGAGTACCCACCCCCACCTTTTTTTTGCTTGAAGGATAGGTTTTGGGATTCTACAACCCGTATGAGTACGGGTAGGGTACACATTATTAGGCTAAACCTGATTCTCACCAACCCGCATATTGCTGGAAAGCATATAAACTTTATATATTAGGTGTTGAATTTAATAATATTTTGAATTTTACGTGAATGATAATTGATAGTTTATGTGTTTTTTACATGTCTTAATCAAATAATTGGAAATTTTGTTGTATATTTGTGTTATCTTATTTGTTTATTTCTTATATATGACAAAAAATAGAAAATTAGATGTGGGTTCTAAACCCAACCCGCCCTACTCTTGAATGTGGGGAGGGTTTTGCATTTTTATGTGCGCGAAGGGTTTGGATTCTCAAAATCCAACCCACTACGGGTTTTGGGGCAGGTACGGGTTGGGAGGTTTAGCAAGGTGAGTAGGGTCTAGAATTTACAAAACCCTCCCCAGACCCGCCCATTGCCACCCCTAATTTCAACTGTTAAAGCTTCTAAGCCTCCCAAATTGCTAAATTGAGATATTTGGACAAGCCTTCTTCATGTTGAAACTTGAATAAAGTTGAGAATTAGAGAGTAGAGAGAGTATGAGAATTTGTATAATGAAAATGGTGGAGGGTAGGGGTATTTATAAGAGTTGGAATCATTTACTTGGCCAAAATACTTTGAAAAACTAATCATTTTTAATTGTTAGGAGGGGTATTTTGGTCATTATAAAAGCTAATTATCATTTTACCTAAATGCCCCTCAAACTAGCTATTATATAGTTATTGGGGATAGAGGTGTAAATTGGGCCATGCCGCCCGCGGCCTGGCACGGCCTGACATGATTTTGAGGTGTCTCGGCTCGGCTTGACATGATGGTTCACGGATCATGCCGGGCTTGGGGTTTTAGGTCCGCAGGCCATGCACGGCCCGACCTAGCCTAAGGCTCAGCCCATGGACCAACTCAGCCTGTGGCACGGCACGGGCCTCCGCGACACGACCCCCCAAATATCCCAACGGAGGGAAGACCGGCCTGAGACGGCTCGCACTATCCGTGGGTCGCACTTGGGTCGTGCCGTGCGGGCCCAACATTTGTTACGACATGGTGCTAGTCGTAATTATAATAATAATAATAATAATAATAATAATAATAATAATAATAATAATAATAATAATAATAATAATAAATTATTATTATTATTATTATTCATTTCGTAATTATTAATATATTATTAATCTATTAATAATACTGATTATTATTAAAAAAATTTAATAGAAAATTTTAATTACTTAAAATTATTTGTTGAAATTACCTTTTTTTTAATTCGGATGGATAATTAATTATTAATTTTAATTTATTAAAGTTATTAGTTATTGAATAATTTTAATTACTCTTTGGTTAACGACCTTATTTTTGAATAATTGGTTTTTTATGTTCAATATTTTTTTTTTGCAAAATCCAAATAATTTTTCATTTGCAATGCTAACCCTTTTATTTTTCTCTTATTTAGTTTTCCGAAAGATAAGAAAATAAATTAATGATATTCATGTATTTTTATCAAATTATGTATTTATCAAGTTGTTGTCATTGATGATGACGATGATGATGAATCAACTTTTTGAAAGAGATGGGTACTAATAATAACTAATGACTTCTAATTAATTAATTCCATGTATTAATTACTAATAATAATAACTCACTGATAATATTTCTTATAACAATTACTGCTAATACTTAATTACTGATAATATTGCTCATTATTAATTCAAAATAATAATTAATTAATGATAATTAATAACGATTTTCATAATGTTAATAATTCAAAATTAATCATTTATATTTATACTAAATCATATTAATTATTTTGAAAATAAATATTTAATGTTAATTATTTATATTAGAATTATTATCAGAAATTATAATTCACACAGTTACATGAAATAATTAATTATATTATTATTATCAATAATTATAATTAATTATTACTAATAATAATGATTTCTGATAAAAATTAATTACTGATTATAATTACTTACTGATAATTAATTCCTTATTTATAATAATGATAATTATTACTTCGGAATGTTAATTAATTAATGATAATTAATAAGTATTTTAGTAATGTTAATTATTAATTGGGATATAATCATTTTATATTTATATTAATTAATTTATACATATACAATTAGTGTTTATTATTTACATTATTATTATTATTATTATTATAAGTAATTATAATTAATGCTATTATTATAATTAATACTATTATTATAAAAGCAATTATTATTTCATTAATTAACCAAAGAAATTAATTATAACAAATTATTTACTTAATATATACAAATTAAGTACATACATAATAAGAGTATATTATTACTTAATTTAGTTTGAAGTTTACAATCATTGTCAATACTCATTAATAGTTAGAATTATCGTTATTAATAAAGAAAATACTTTATTAATTGTAAACTTGATTTAACTTTTAAGTAAGCAACCTAATTTAACATTTAAAAAGAAATAACTCAAAATAGATTTATTAGATAAATAGTAAATACCAAATAAAGTGGGTTATTATTTACTAATAAAATCTCGTTTAATATCTTAAATCAAATTAAAAAAACTTACATTAGTAGTGAGTTTCAAATAAAATAGGTCAGAATGCAAGGGTCCAAGATCCATATTACTTTTTTTTTTAATTTAATTTTTGATAATTGATTAATAAACTCCAAACTAAATTATACGCGCATTTAGTTACGTGTCATTCACTAATCGTACTTTTACTATTTGGTATCATTTAGCCACGTGGGAAAAAGCACAAGCTGGTCATGGTCATCGTCTAACGTTGGAAAAGTAGATGACAACTAACCATGCGTTTACTTCTAACTACCTCAATACCTCGTGCAAGTTGCCACATTTAAGACTAACCCTTTTTCAAATTCCGGGTCACCATGCTCTTTGTCTCTTCCTGACGAATGTCGACTACAAATTCGGCTCTGCCCCGATGAAACTCCATCGTCGACACTCAAACCTCGTGGCTTAATCCAATTCCAAGCTGCTTCAGAACTGATAACTTCGACTTCAACAAGTAATGGCGCTTAAATCATTCATTGACGTTCATCCTGACTCGCATTTCCCAATCCAAAATCTTCCCTACGGCGTTTTCAAGCCCCACCATCGCGGAGAAGCTCGTCCCGGCGTCGCGATCGGTGACTTCGTGTTGGATCTTTCCGCCATCGCTAATGCTGGTCTCTTCGACGGACCGATCCTCAAGAACTCCGATTGCTTCCTTCAGGTTCGTCTAACTTTAGGGCCCGTTGATTCGAGGCAATAGAGGTCTGGAATCGAAATAGGAATGGGCCTTCCATTCTTGGTGGAATGACATTCCGGGAATGTAATCCCATTCTGATTCCTCGCCGCCTGTCTGAACCAAACAGACTATGGAATAGACTATTATGATTCCAATTGTAAGAGATTTTAATTCAGATTCCGACTGTAAACCAAACGGACCCTTAGTTTCCTTCGCTTATTCCGGTTGCAAGCTTTCTTATTTTTTTTTAATTTACATTTAGTGGAGTTATGCGGTGGTTAGCAGCACAGAATTAGTGATTCTCTTAAGTCTAACAATCATGCAGATTTTCTAGTTCGATAATGGTCTGGGTATACAAATGAAGTGTCTTCCTCCACTGTAGCTTTCTCTTTACTACTGTTCTCTGATACTACTGATCACTTCTTTTGCGTCTCTGTTCATAAAAAAAAAAAAAAAAAAAATTGTACTATGTACCGTTCTTTTTTTGGTCAAAATTTCGAATTTTTTCAGATGTGATTTAGAATATTAACGCGCATTATGCCATGCGACCAGCCTTCTCTAAACAAGTTCGTGGGGATGGGACGACCTGCGTGGAAGGAGGCTCGCGCGACAATCCAAAGGCTATTGTCCTGTACGTTTTATCTTTCTATTTGTTAAATAGAAATGCAAAGGCTATGGGTCTCCCCTTTATTTGCATCCAAAGCTCAAGTTATCCCCTCCCTCCACACACACACAGGCTATTGTCCTCTTTTTTCTCTGATTCAATGATTTGCACCCCAATTAGGAATTTCTCATTGTTTAAGACTATCTGTAAAGCTACAACTTTTACCTGATACCCAAATATTAAACTGAAATTTTGTCACGATCCACATGAAACTGACAATGGAACGTTGGAGTTTGTCACGGGCAACTAAAGGGAAATACCTGGATTGTTCAAAGATTCTTGTGTAGAAACTCATACTGTAACAGTTAATTTATTAGCAAGTATTCTCCAATGCAGCTGATGAGCCAACATTACGTGACAATGACAGTTTAAGGGAGAAAGCACTTTTTCCAATGGTTTGCTAACTCCAATCCTCTGAATCTACCATTTAATTTTGTAAGCTATTCATGTTTTGTTGTACTATGATGAACAGAACAAGGTGGAAATGCTTCTGCCTACTGTCATAGGAGATTATACAGACTTCTTTTGCTCCATGCATCATGCGAAGAATTGTGGAACCATTTTTCTTGGACCAAAGAATCCAATTCCACTGAACTGGTAATCTCTGCTTTTGAAGCTTATATGAGAAATATGAATGATTCGTTCTCTCAAATAATTAATGGGGATGATTTGCGTGGTGTGATTAGATCATATTGTGCAATTGTCATAAGGTTGCTTACTCAATCATCATCCGCCCCAAATTTTCCTTTTCTATTTTCCTTATTTTCTCCGTGGAACAGACAGGGGAGATGGGATGATGAATGGTCCATTGGCAGTGATGAATATACAAATGGTTGCTACACAAGGATGCAGAAGTATAGCTGAAAATAGGGGTGCAACTCGGGTTGGCCTAAGCATTTTACACTGCATTGGGCTCAGGTCTTCGGGCCAGGCCCATTCAAATTTTGTCAAAGCCTAACTAACCCAAGCCTGCCCAAGTTGCACCCCTAGCTGAAAAAGTTATACAAGTGCATTATAATTTAGCTGTTCAATCATTTATACCTAATGGTATTGGGGAGTGCTTGTTTCTTTTACAGTTTTATTTTGATTTCCTGATCACGAGTCATTTAATTATTTTGAAATGTATCATTTTCAAAAAAAAAAAAATGAAATGTATCATAATTGGAATGGTAAAGAAGTATGTAGTTTATGCAGTTAGTATTGATAAGACCGACCAAGGGTAGTAATTTTTTTTTACATAATGTTCTATAGCACCTTCAATTGTGACAAGTAGTTTCCTGGATACATCAGCATTCGCCAATGAAAACAATTGAACTTTTTAGCAAGAAATGCTGTAAAAGGTGGGTATAAGCATTTGATGTAGGGTGCATAAAGCTCTGTGCTTTATAGATCTGAATTGATTGTTTTACCTCCATATAGATCTGAATTTTGCAGCTATTCCATGTCTTGTTCACTACTCTTTTTTACCATTGAACTTCTATTCATCATATCTGAATCTAATTTTCCTATTAGTTGATAATCTTAGTCTATGCTTTTCAGGTTCCATCTCCCCATTGCATATCATGGACGTGCATCATCAATTGTTATCTCAGGAACTGATATTATCAGACCAAGGTATGAAAGTTTTCTTTAGATATTTCACTACTTAGGAGTTGGCCTTGAATTTCTAATCTTTCAAGCATCGGGTCACACTGAAAGACCGTTTACTAAATAAAACAAACTATAATAGCTTCCCAATCATATCAATTATCTGATTAGTTTAGGACCATTTTGATAATCGATAGAGTTAATATGCATGGTATAACTAAGAAATTCTCAGCTTCCTACTTTGCATAGCCATTTACTTTCAAGGTAGAGATTGAAATCCCAAGTTTTCTAACAAGTTAGGAACCTTTTTCGGACCTGGTTATCTGGTAGTTTCATACCGTTAATCATCCATCATATTAAAATATGTGGTTTGTTGAACTAATTTCTGTATATTTTAGTTGCTCATCTTAGAGTTTTTCATATCATATTATTCTTTATCTTTTGTCAGAGGTCAAGGTCATCCTATTGGCAATTCTCCACCATATTTTGGACCTTCACAGAAGCTGGATTTTGAGCTAGAAATGGTTAGATTTTATTTGGTGAAAGATATTCTTGCTTGATTTCTTTTTTATATGTGAATACAAATACATAGCTGTATAAAAGCAGCAGAACCTCAGTTAATTCCAGTTCTTTCATGGTTCAATTAAAGACTCATTTTATGCTGTCAATGCCACCATCTAGAAATTCAATTGATTAGAGAGGCATTTCCTACTTTTTTTTTTCTTTTTTTTTTAATTTTCATTCTTATCTTGGTTACAGGCTGTTGTTGTTGGTCCAGGAAACCAATTGGGAAAACCTGTGGATGTTAATGAGGCAGCAGATCATATCTTTGGTCTTGTACTGATGAATGACTGGAGTGGTAATTACGATTTTTGTTATTACAGATGGAAATTACTTGTTATGCTTAATTATGAATAATTTACTGGTTATTTGTTGGTTTTGGCAGCTAGGGATATCCAGGCATGGGAATACGTGCCACTTGGTCCTTTTCTAGGGAAGAGTTTTGGTGAGAATCTAATTTCAACTTTTTGTTTGAGTTCCATTACATTCTATAGAAAGCTAGGATATGTCAAGGCTAGGGCCTACGCTCTTGCATTACTTAGTTACTTTTGTGTTTTCTATCTTTGATTTTGAGGGCTGAAAACCTATCCATCTCGGATGCTTGTAGGTACAACAATATCTCCTTGGATTGTGACTCTAGATGCTCTGGAACCTTTTGCCTGTGATGCACCCAAACAAGTAATTCATCATTTAGTTATTTCAGTACCCAAAACCATTAAAATTATAGCCTTATATTCTTCCATTGGATTCCTTCTATTTAAGTAAACTGCTATAAATTGCAGGAACCCCATCCATTGCCATACTTGGCTGAAAAGAAATCCAAGAACTATGACATTTCTCTAGAGGTAGTGTATAGCTGCTTCTGTGTATTCTTATACTTGATTACTCATCCTTTCCCTCTGTCATTAATCAAGATTTTAGGCTTATTTTCTTGCAATTTTAGTAATCAGTATGATAGACCTTATTAGGTTCAGGCCCGTCTGGACTATCCAATGAAAATATTTTCACATTTCTAATATAATGCTCTAGCTTTTACCTTAATGAACTATGATGGTTATATTGCTTTGTGCTGACAGGTTTGGATAAAGCCTGCTGGACAGGAGCATTCATCAATTGTAACCAAGAGTAACTTCAAACACCTGTAAGGAGTTTGAGATTAAACATACTCTAGCTTTATCTGAACTTTAATTTTACATTGCTTTATTACATATGACTATATCAGTTGGATATGGACCAACCACCCATTTGATTAGAAATCATTAGTGATGCATTTAGGTTGGTATAGGTGTACTCTATGCTGATGTTGGCCATATAAGCTCCTTATACTCGGTATTTTTATCTGTCATCACCTTACTGTCCATATAGGAAAGAGATATCTAATGGGCCTTGCTCAACCATCCATATAAGTTTATTTATTCTTAAAGTACTGAAAGAAAATTATACTGTTGAACTGCATTCTTTCATATATTCTGCTAATTGGTCAATCATATTCCTACAAGAAGTACAACATCTAATTTCATAGTTCATGTATTATTTTGATTTAAACTGTGCTAGAGTCATATCAAGCACAACATCTCTAACTCTTCTATCTCGTGAATTAGATATTGGACAGTGACTCAACAACTTGCACATCACACAATCAATGGTTGCAACCTCAGGCCTGGGGATATTCTTGGAACAGGAACCATAAGTGGACCTGTATGGATTTACATTTATTATGTAAAATGGAATATTAGGGAGCATAGTAGATGTAGTTCAATTCTGTATAATTGTATCTTATCATACTTCTTTACCCTGTGGAACGTTTTCCTTATGCTGTTTGATTGTTCTATGCAACCATTTAATTTTCTTACAGGCACCGGAATCCCTCGGATGTCTGCTAGAGTTAACATGGAATGGGCAAAAGGCACTTTCTCTAAATGGTTTAACTCGCAAGTTTTTAGAAGATGGTGATGAAGTCATTCTTACCGGCTATTGCAAGGTTCTTCGTAACATTTATCTTTTTCTGTTTTTCTTGGAGTTTGATGTGATTATATTCTTCATGAATCATGGAAACATGCACAATGAATTAGCTTCCTCTCAGCATTGTATGCATTCTTGACCATTTAAGTTGTGAGACTTCCAACCACAGCCTCATCTGCCAAATCCTTCTCCATCATTTCTTTTTGTGCATAGAAAAGTAAACTCTAAATTTGAATTTACCCCCCCCCCCCCTTTCCATGGCCTTTTTTGCAGCTTGAATTCTGATTTAGCAGTAGTGCATGTTTAACTGGCAGACAATGTAGCTATTTTGGGTTATCAATTGAAAGAACTCCTCTCTTCTTTTCTTCTTCTGTCTCTTTCTCTGTTAACATCTGGAGTGTTTAATCTAGCAAAACCACCCTTATTCCATGAACTGGTGATCCACACATCCCCATACTTATGCAACACATTTATGGAATCTTCATATCTCTAGTATCTTATATGGTTAAATGGAATATAAATATCTTAAAGTAATGCATTAACATTTTTTTCTTTCTTGATGTGTAACTCTTGGAAATTGAATCAAATGCAGGGGAATGGCTACAACGTAGGATTTGGGACCTGCTCGGGCAAAATTGTTCCGACTTCTCTTTGAGCAAATTTCTATTGCTGTTTTATTCTGGAAATGCAAATTTGTCCTGCAAGCATTTTAGATTGTGAGTTAAATATGTGGGTTGAAACCATCACAAGCAGGAAGCTACTATTTGTAAAAGGCTTGCCTATTGTTGTTGTTTGCAGTTAGATCTCCTGTGGTTTCCTGTTCTTCATTTTGATTCCTCCACCATTAGTACTTCTACTCTCATACATACTTCTGCCAGGAATATGATAATGGATTTCCAGGAAACTTTTAATTTTCCTTTTGCTGGAGTGCGCCTTTCCCCTTTCGGCCTTCTCCCAAGTAAAAAACATACATGTACTGAAATTGGCTAAGGCTGCATTTGTTTTCGGTGTAAACTTGATCGATGTAGAACTCAATCGATGGAGTTCAATGCCATGAGTTTAATATTTTAGTGAACCGTTGGAACCTTTTCAAATGTGATGCTTACCACTACCATATCAGTTAGATGACCATCAGCATGCAGGCCACAAAAGCTTATTCCCATTCAAACTTCCAAACGCCAATAGAAATGAGTTTCGTTTTACGTAGGGGTGCCCAACCTAAGTACCTAACTGTGGGCCTATTTTTCAAACTGAACTGATACAACCAATTTTTAAAAAACCGTGAACCAAAATCAAACCAAAACCAATGGTTAACTGATTGATCGGTTTGGTTTTTGATTGATCGTTCTTTGGTTTTTTTATATTTATAATATATACTATAAATAAATATATCTATATATAATGCATATCTATTTATTTATTTATTAATGATATATAGATAATATAAAATATAAATAATATATAAACATATATATATAATACATATTTCATATTAATTAACCAAAACCAAGCCAATACCTTCAAATTTTTGAACATACCGAGTTGAAACCAAACCTATTGGTTCAGTTAACTGGAATTTTTGGTTCAAATTTGTCGGTTCAGTTCAACTTTTTGGTTTTTAATGAACACCCCTAATTTTACTAACAAACACAGCCTTAAGAAAGTAGCCAATGAGTTTGTACCTACAAGGCATAGTTTCACCTTCAACACCAGGTTCCAAATAATAGCCACATCTACATGGTGAATCACACAACTAGTTGTCATTTAACCACCTCTTGAAGAAGTTTTCTTTGTTAAGATACAAAAGGTTTTGTTATTATTACTACTGGAATGGTCCATGTGATGCATGGGGTATTTGATATTATTGGTGATGTTTGACTATGCTTTTATATCATGGGCATAGATGAAAGTTCACATACCATTCAAGTCCTAAGACAATTATATAATACATAAAAAAGACTATCCTCACAAAATGTCAAGATCTAAATTTTATAATATGCATATAATGTTGGTTGCAAATGCATTAGATTGAAACATTAATGCACCAAATTAATGATAAAATTACATTCAACAACATTATATATAGATACAATTCATCTCATAAAACACAAAATCTATGGAGAATAGGAGATGCCACTCTTAAATGATATCCTATTTTTTGTAATAACCTAAAACCTATAAAATAATTACTATTAATGGTCAGAAGTAAATAAAGCTATTATGTTAATTTACACAAGTAACCATTGAATAGCAGAAGCCATTATCTAAAATGACTATTAAATAACTTACATTTAATCCTAAAAACATTTTCTTTTTCTTTTTAACTAAGATGAGATAAAGAAATTTGTTGAAAGCAAAATTTATCAACCATCTAATAAAGTAACATGTATGCAAACACCTTCTAGGCATGTTGAGCACCTCCGCACATTTGTCCAAGAATAAAACACTCGAACAATTCATAATGTGTCATAGTGTTGCATACGGTTAAAGGCATGAGTTGTAGGCCCTATTTAACAACCACACACATGACAACATATAGTCCTAGTGGCCAAATGCCTTTATAAGACCTGGGCCTAATTGACAAACATATCCAGGGACTATGGAATAAAATTTCTATATTTTCATTTTTTTATAATGTATAGTTTTCTTTGTTTTTTTAGTTTTTGTTATTTTTCATCATTTTTATGATTTTCTACATTTTTTGTAAATTTTCTGCATATTTCTTTGTTTTTTGTAATTTATATTAGTTTCCTTAATTTATGTTTTTTTTTCTACATTTTATATCTTTATTTATATATTATGTATTTTTTATAGTCATATTTTCTAGAATTTATGTATTATGTGAAAAATTAATGGGTTGGGTTATGTTAGGTTTGGGTCGAATCCAAAATGGGTCATTAGTGGGTTGATGGGTCAGGTGGGTTGGGTTAAAGCTCAACCCAAACCTAAGTACCTAACCCACTCAATTTCTTTTAGAAAAGACAATGGTTTTTTTTGCCAACAACTATCATGCACCCTCATATAGAATTGGGATATGTCGGAATAACCAAAAAACTAAGGGGTAGAATTAGTATGAAAAATCAAGGTCTTTCGACCACACTAACTGAACCATTCTCATTTTTTTATATATGGTAGTAGATATAATTTTTTATTTTATTCTATAACTTTTGTTCATTTTTTCTGTAATTTGTGGTTTTTCTTTGTTTTTGGTAATTTGTGTTTTTTCTTCAATTTTTACGATTTTCTATATTTTTTGTAAAATTTCTCTATTTTTTTTTGTTTTTTTGTAATTTATATTATTTTCTTCATTTTATGTGTTTTTTCATAATGATTTTGCAATGGCATATATACAATGGGAAAAAATAAAAAGTTAAGGGTAAAGTTGGAAAGTAAAATCAGGGTGTTTTGACCAAACCAATTGCAACATTCTCATTTTTTAGTATGGTGCAGAAATTTCTATGATTTTCTATATTTTGTGTAATTTTTCTATGTATTTCTTTTCTTTTTTTTGTAATTAATATTGTTTTCTTCATTTTATGTTTTTCATAATTATTTTTCAATGACAATAAATACAATGGGAAAAATAAAAAGTTGAGGGTAAAGTTGGAAAGTAAAATTAGGGTGTTTTGACCAAACCAATTGCAACATTCTCTTTTTTTAAATATGGTATAGAAATTTTTATGATTTTCTATATTTTTGTGTATTCCTTTGTTTTTTTTTTGTAACTTATATTGTTTTCTTTATTTTGAGGAGAAAGGTGTGTAGGATAAGAGAGACGCAATTTTTGCTTCCTCCTTTCTATTGTAAAGTAGGGGGAATGGATAAGATATACATTATGCAAAGAGGGGTTTAAAGGAGAGAACTGGGGTTTTAGAATTAATGTCTTCGCTCCACGTGTGAATGATGACATTTGGCCTTTTTCCTCCTACCATTCTACTCGTCAATGGTGGGGCCTTTATTTGCATATATAACGGCTAGCGTCTGGATATAGATTGATCCTGATTCATTTATATTTGAATTCAAATCAAACAACCGTTTAATTTAGTCTAAATCTCTTACCAACAAAATGCATTCCAAACGACCAAACCCCTATGGCCCTACTGGCGTAGTACGGAAACAAACCATGTTCAGAGAAACTTCAAAGAAAAGAACTAAAGCCAAAATAAATAGGAAGAACAACTCTTCATTGAATACTTAAGAGAAAATCAAACATCAAAACTGTCATAGCTTTGTCCTAATTGGCCTTTATATAGACTTACACCCTTATGGATCCTACAAGAAAGTTTCCTAATCTATGAAAACACTCCATAATAGAATCATACTAAAACTCTTCAAAAAGAAAGTCCTAATTGAGAAAAAATTTGGAAATCATGATCTAATGCCAACTTGGTAATTTCGAACTAAGATAGAAGTTTTGTGTTGGCGCTAACTCAATAATTGATTAGTTGGTTGGATCAATGACATCATCCAAGCTTCTTGTGTATCTTGGAGTGGTCCTAACTTGCATGTAACTTATTGGCCTTCTCTGTATTGCATCATCCTCCTCGGGTTGGAGAGAATCCATCATCGGATTAAAATCACCATCTGAATGATTGTCGACATACAGTACCAAGTGCTTGACATTGAATACATCATGGGTATGTATATGGATGGGTAGCTTTAGTCTGTAAGCATTCTCATTGATGACTTCAACTATCTCGCATGGTCCAACCATCCTTGGTGCCAGTTTTCCACATTGCCCAACCGGTATACAGTTCTCTGTTAAAATGGCCCAAATGTAGTTTCCCGCATCAAATACTACTTTCCTCATTTTTTCCATCAACATGTTGTTTGTACTTAGAATTAGCTACCTCCATCTTGCTGTGGACTTCTTTCTAGAGGTTCTTAAGCTTCTGCACCATATCATCAGCCTTGTCATGAATTGGGCCTGGCCAAGTACTAGTAGCAAGATCAAGAACGCTATAGGATTGGCTCCATATACTACCTCAAATGGGTTGTATCCCATGTTCTTGTTTTTTGACCTATTGTAGGCGAGTTCAGCTTGTGTTAATAAGAGATTCTATTGTCGTTCATTGCTAGATGTAAGGGTTCTCAAAAGATTTCCCAAACTCCTATTGGCTACTTCTGTTTTTCCATCCATTTGGGAAATGAACTACTGAATTGTAATGAAGATGGCAAGCCATGGAGTTTGACAATCTCCTTGAAGAATAAACCAACAATAAGTAAGGCATCCATTGTCTTCCTACATGCCACGAAGTGAGCCATTTTTGAAAAACGGTCTATGACCACCATTATAGAATCTACTTGTCACTGGGTACGTGGCAACCCGAGAACAAAATCCATAGATATATCTACCCAAGGTCCTTTAGGAACTGGGAGGGGCATGTATAATCCAAAATTGGTTATTGTCCCCTTAGAAACTTGGCATATATGACAACATTCCACAAACCTCATGATGTCTCTCGTCATCTTGGGCTAATAGGTAAATAGTAACTTGTTGAGACGAGTTGAATTATTTTGTCTCACCCAAAATGTCCTTCATTGTGCAGCTCTTTGACAATTTTCAACCACCATGAGCAATCAGGTATACATAGGTGGGTTCCCTTGAATAGGAAGTCATCATATGCCACAAAGTATGTCCTATTACCTGATTGCACATCCTCCATAGTATCAACAAAATAAGGGTCAGTGAAAAATAATTCATAGAAAGTATCAAACCCCGACACCTGTGCTCGGAATGTGGATAACAAGGCTTTCCTTCGGCTAAGTGCATCTGCAACTTGGTTGTGCACACCCGACTTATGTTTCAATGCAAACGAATATTCTTGGAGGTATGTTGCCCATTTAACATGCCTTGCATTCAACTTATGTTGGCCCCCAATATGCTTAAATGCTTCATGATCTGAATATAAGATGA